ATCACCATCATCCAGCGTACTATCGCACCAACATGTCCCACCAAATTGAATAGCGTCATTTATCATAGTGGGAGTTCTATCCCACCCTTATAACCGATTTAAATCTGTAATTCAGGAATGCTGAGAGCAACGCCGAGTACAAAGGTTTGGACGTAGACCACCTTGTCGTCGACCATATTGTTGTTCAACGTGCTGCCAAGATGCGCCGACGAACATACCGTGCCCACGGACGCATCAACCGTAAGTATTCAATGGGATTTTTCTCACCTTAACATTTTTCGTATGTCTAAGAATTCTCTGTTTTGATTTCGGCTTCTTACTTTGGACTTTGACTCAGATCTCTCACATTTTTCTTTTCACACTTAAATTTGCTCAATTCTTGGTTCTCGTTTTTAGCTCGTTTATTCGGTTATTGGTTTTTCATACCGCATCAGGGGACGAATATAATTCGGCACATAACGGTAACTCATTTTATTCCGCACTACCCTGTAGATTTTCGCTACAGTGTATGCTGGCTTAGTGCCATTTTGGGATCTATCGCAGTTCGCCTTTGAGGGAGCATTTTGGTAGTTCATATTGACGTGGAGGCCTGTAATGTTGTAAATCGCGAATTAGTTTTTACCAAAGAAAGTCCACGGGTCATTCCGGCCATTCCGAATGAGATCCGCACAGCTGTGCGCATCTTGACATGCTAACCTCGAATATGCCAAATTCTGCTGACCGATCTCTGATGGGAGTGACAAGTGCATTTTCTAAACATTCAAACACAGTGCACGCCATAGCAAAATGTCAAAGCAGTCGAATTTTTCTTTGCTTTTTTTACTCGGCCTATGAGAGGGGGAGCGTGGCAGGTCTCTCGATTAGATCATTAAGCCAATATCTGCTCTCATTATGAGTAGGTAACCTATAAAGGAGTTATCACTTGTTCTATAATACTACCCGTGCGACGGTGCCGGACAACCTTTTAAAGGTCTTGTGAAACTTCCAATTATGGGATGGATATCTAGGATTTTGTTTGGGCCAACACATTCGTAGGAATGCAATGATTGAGAAATTCAGTTCAGTAAAACAATACTAAAGGACCAAAGTAACTTTATTAAACATGCTTGCCGTCCCCATGGTGAGATATACCGTTTGCGGGCTGATGGTGACCCGACCTCTCCAGGACTTGCACGACACACACTCTGGGGGTAGTTTGTTATGGTCATTTCGTAGCTGCCTAACCGTACTTTTTATCAAAGGAATCGAATTCCCCTAACTAAGCTATAGCTCCTTCGAGACTTTTGTTCTTTGCGCAGGAAATATTACCTGTCAGCATCGGCTATCATTTGGGCGTCGCCCTCAACGTCACAATGAGC